TATCAGACCGGAGGACTTCAGGGAGAAAAATTTTCATTCTTGGGTGCTGCTTGATGTACTTGGCAATCTGTTTCTTAGTTTGTGTTGGTCTTTTGGGATCTCTCCAAACTGACGTTAGAGAATACTCCATGAGAGTTTGTTCTTTCAAGACAATAAAGTCTAGTTTTTTTTTTTTTTTAAGTCTAGTTGTTTTTTAAAAGTCAAGTTTCAGGAGACAAATCCTGGTGAGGCGGCTTATGGGATATGTGACCTTGTGCAGATGGCCTACTCTCTTCTTGCCTCAGTCTTCTCATCTGTACAATGGGGATTGCAATAGTACTTCATAGGGGTTATTGTAAAGTGACAATACCTTTATACATGTAAAGTACTTACAAGTGTGCTTGGCACACACTAAACTCTTGGAAAATGTTAGCTATTGCTATTACTTTTAAGCACAAGTTCATGCAATTTCTGAAGGCCAGGGCTCCCCAGGTATCATTTTCTCTGCTGCAGGCACTCCAGACTCTCAACCTGGATAATGCATATCACCCTTCAGTTTAGATTTCACTTCTCCAAGGGAAACCTTCCCTTACTTCTCAGACTGGTTTAGGTGCCCTCCTATGGGCTCACATAGCACCTTTCTCTCTGCCTTTTATAATCCTTATACTCTTTATGTGTATATTTGCTTGTTTAAATCTGATCTGTGAAGGTATATTTCTATTTTGTTCTCCATTGTATCTTCTAAGCCTGGCATATAATATTCGGTATAATGATAAAAATAATATTAATAGTAGTTAACATTTATTGGGAGAAGGCAATGGCAACCCACTCCAGTACTCTTGCCTGGACAATCCCATGGACGGAGGAGCCTGGTCTCCAGGAGCCTGGAGACTGTGGTCCATGGGGTTGCTAAGAGTCAGACACGACTGAGCATCTTCACTTTCACTTTTCACTTTCATGCACTGGAGAAGGAACTGGCAACTCACTCCAGTGTTCTTGCCTGGAGAATCCCAGGGACGGGGGAGCCTGGTGGGCTGCCGTCTATGGGGTCACACAGAGTCGGACATGACTGAAGTGACTTAGCAGCAGCAGCATTTATTGAACATGCACTAATTAAAGTTCACCAATTAAAGCAAACTCCAGGAGATAGTGAAAAACAGGGAAACCTGGCATGCCGCAGTTCATGGGGTCACAAAGTTGCACACAACTTAGCAACTGAACAACCAAGTTCACAAAAGCCTCAACCGTACGTTTTTGAGGAAGCTACTATTATTTCCATTTCATAAATCAGACTAACCCTTAGGGAAGTGAAATAAATTTTACAAAGACAGCCAGATAGCAAATGTCAGAGCCAGGTTTGAACCCAACTTGATTCTGAGCTCAGATTCTCAGTGGGCCATCCGGCGTGGGTAGCCCACAAACAGTACTTTCTAGTAGAACCTTGGCAGGTTCGACTAGAATCAGTCATTTCTGGTTCAAAGATTCAAGAGGCTACTCTTTGTGTAGTTATATCAACTCTCTGAAGTAATCCTCTTCTAGTCTCCTGATATTTGCAAATAGCCATTGGCAGCATATTTTATGCTGGAAGGACTGAACAGTGTCTTGATTCATTGAACACTACCATCGACTCTTCAATGCTTTAGCTAAAAATCGAACGGGACTGAAATCTGTGCTTTTTCCCCCAAAATTTTTGGATCTTATTTATGAACAACTGCTTCTGTTGGCTTGGACATAGTTTATTCATTGTGAAAACCTGGTTCAATGTACATCCTACAATTTCTAAATATTTATTAGCATTATTCCCTGGAAATGCTGAGTAAGTGCATGTGTATTATTAGAGTAAGTTCTTCTGTGTTTAAAACCCTTGCTATCAACACTTTAGAGAAGTTCTAGAGAAAAAAGGAAATTGTCCTACTATTTACCAGGGTTTGACAAAAGTCTGGGCTTAACAAAGGCTGTTGAGAGATGCTCTTATTGCTGTTTCAGATGCAGGAAGCATTAGACTAGCGGTAAACTGTCCTTCCTACCATCAACTGCTGTCATCTGGTGGCAAACGTGAGAAGTAGCAGAAAACTTCACTATCCACAGGAATTTTCTTTTCTGACGTTCAGTAAAGTGGATTGGGGCTTCCTTGATAGCTTAGTTGGCAAAGAATCTGCCTGCAATGCAGGAGACCCCAGTTTGATTCCTGGGTCGGGAAGATCCCCTGGAGAAGGGATAGGCTACCCACTCCAGTATCCCTTGTGATTCAGCTGGTAAAGAATCCGCCTGAAAAGCAGGAGACCTGAATTCGATCCTTGGGTTGGGAAGATCCCCTGGAGAAGGGAAACGCCACCCACTCCAGTATTCTGGCTTGGAGAATTCCACGGACTGTATAGTCCATGGGGTTGCAAAGAGTCAGACATGACTGAGCGACCTTCACTTTCACTTTCAAAGTGGATCGAATGTTTTCACTGTGTTTGCCGTTAGCATATAATCAACTTAAGTGCTTATGACAAAGCCAGAATTTATTATAAACTAAACCTCAGCTCATCTTTCTTTATCCTATAGTAATAATAACCAATATTGGCTGAAAGTGTATCAAAGACCAGGACCTCGTTTTGATGCTTTACGTGAATCATCTTGTTTAATATTTATGAGCCTTCTGTGAGGTGGCTATTGTTATTATCTTCATTTTAACCCACTGAGGTAACTACTGGTTGAGTAATTCACCCAAATTATACCACAGAGAAGTGGTAGAGCCAGAATCATAATCCAAGAGATTCTGATTCCTGCCTCCATGATCTTTTTTTTTTTAAATTAAAATTGTTTTTAGTGGAGTATAGTTGATTTACAATTTTGTGTTGCTTTCTGCTGTATAGTACAGTGGATCAGCTATACATACACATACATCCACTTTTTTGTGGTTTTTTTTTTTAGATTCTTTTCCCATATAGGTCATTACAGAGTATTAAGTAGAGTTCCCTGTGCAAAAAGCCCAATTTTAAATACTTCCTCCAGTGGGGGTTTATAAGTTAAAAGTTGTACCCATGATCTTAACCATTGCTTTACTGTGGAGTCTGAAGCTAAGATAGCCAGAGGAAGAACAAACTGGAAGTGGGACACTTGACTGTGAACTTTAGTTCCACGGCCACCTCCTTAGTAACAATTCCTTGTTCCAAGAAAAAGAAATATCTGTAACTTATATAATATTGTACACCAACTATACTACAAACACACAAACCAACCAAAAAAGACTCACATCAGCAGGATCTGAACCTGGTCCTGTTCATCTCCTCTGGGTCCCTTTTTGTTTTCCATGAAATCATGGGATTGGATAGCAGTTTTCAAGCTGTTGTTTGCAATATGCTAGTGTTTCCACATGTGATGGGGTCAGAGAGAGAGAGATGAAAGGGAAGGGGGTTCTTGGCCAGTGGGGTTGGAACTCTCACGCCTACTCCTTCACATCTTTTACATGACAATCTCCGAATTAACTTTTGGGTTCTACAAATTGCATAAAGGCTAAAAAACTTTTAGAAAGAAGAGGGTCAAACTCTCCTGGCAACTCCAGAAATACTTGATGGAAGGACCATCTCTAGACAGTTGCAGGTGGGAAGCATCACCAAAACACCAATGATCTTCAAGAGAGGAGCAAAAGAAATCCATTCCTCTGTGGACAATCCCATAGCATTGTGAAAGACAGTTATTTCTGTAGAGTATTCAGAATATATACTTATAATATGTTTACAGCAATAACAGAGCTCTTTGTCCATTGGGGAGAACCTAAGAGGAAGCCTCTTTTATATTCAGAATAGTGTGCAGATTTAAAGGAAAATCCTTTGAGAACTTTTAAAGCTCTTTCTTTGGGGGAGCATGGTTTAATTCAACAGAAACAGAAAAGAAACAAAGCAAGCTATCAGTTTTAATGTTTCTAGCAATTTTTTGCCTACCAAAAATGCATCAATAATTATAAGCATACTTATATCTCATTTTACTTGAGCTTGTATTGTCTCAATTAATCGATACTTTGGTTGCTTGTGGGATATACAATCTTTGAAAGTTTTGGTTCTGGGTAATATATTTTACCTCAAATATTGAAATCTGTGCCCAATCTGACCACAGAACCTAGTGCATAGCAGGTATTCAGTAATTGAGGAATATTACTGTTGAGGAATATTATTGTCCTTTCACGAAGGAGCATGCTACATTGGAAACTACCCAAATTAATTCTTTGACTCTGAGGTCTACTGAATACTCACTTACTTATAAAGTTGATTTTTTTAAGTTTACTGGTTTCCCCCATTTTATAGATACAGAAACCGAGGCCAGGAAAATGACATTGTTCCACTGTGTTATGAAAAGTCGGTCAAGGGGAATCAGAACCTAGGTTTTCCTGATGGCTGGATGTTGGCTATCTAAAAATTCAGTTTCCTGAAAGCCACTTCACCATCAGTCAATGCACTGTGCTTACTTGTTTCTCTTCAAGTATTTTAAATATTCAGGTTTGCGTGACCTACTTTCACAGCTGTGTTTTAAGGGGTATTAAATTGATTCTCTCCCCATCACCTGCCACCACACTTGGATACTGAGAGTAGGGGGAGGTGGAAGCTGAGGAAGGGAGGGGGCTGATGGGGGGCTGGTTTACAGACTAAACACTATAATACATTTTCATTTTCAAGAGTGTACTAATGAGTCATCATGAATATATTCTCTCTTTCCTTCTTTGGATCATGGGATTCTTGATTTATTAAATGTCACTGGTTGGCTTAAGATCTTTCCCCCTCCCTGTTTTGTTTTATTCCCACTTTCCCTTCTCATCTCCTCCTACGCTGCCCCCATCTCTGGCAACATTAAAATGAGCTTACTGTGTACCTTTTTGCTTGTCTGTGATCTTCCAGACTGGATATTGTTTTGTGCACATGTATTAACTTACTCAAAATGTATTGTGTTACAGATCACATTTTGTTTTCATTCAGCTCTCTCCAGGCGGTGTTAGTGGGCATCCAAACTGTTTAGAGCACATGTTGTCCATTGCTTCTTACCTCGAGGTGCCCACTTCACCCAGCCCCTCCCTCTGTGATGGAGGCAGCCACGGCCTTCTGTCTCTACTCCAAGCGAGGCGGCAGTGAATATCCTCATGCCTGCTCTTTTACAGACTGAATGGGCAGAGCTTTAGGCTGTATACCTAGGAGCAGGAATTCGGAATCATCAGAATTCACATGTTTCTATTCCGAGAACAAGAATTCCTGACGTTTCAGTGGAAAATTCTATAAATAGATGAGACCCACTTAACCTTCTGTGAAGGAAGAACTGAAAACTGTCGGGGGGGGTGGTGGTGGTGGGGGTGTGGCTGAAAATGCAGCTATTGTTGTTTTTTTTTCCCAGAGAAAAAACTCAAGAGGAAATGGGTTTTCATAGCGTTAGGGGAATTCATGGGGAGAATGAGGGAGAGTTTTCGGTAGCAAGATTCTGTCAAGGATATGTATGAAGCTTCTTTCCTTGGACAGAGGATGGTCAGGGCAGGGTCCACACTGGGTCTTGGGCAGGGAATCAGAAGGTCACTCCATGGGGGTGGAGTCAGTGTTCAAATTCAGCCCCCCACCGCCTCTGTCAAAGAGCCATCATCAGCCTTTTACCCAAGTCAAGGTCATATTTAGATGATTTTACCAACAGAAGACCCCAAGCTGCATTTCCAATCATGACCTATGCTCTCTCTTCAATATTTCTACTGTTTTGAATGTGGATACCACTGGGGAGTAGAAATAGGGGTTGGGGCAGAGGAATACTATTTTTATTAAAAGCTTTAAAAATGTGAACTTTGTGTATATGCAGCTTTGAGAAAAATAAAAATTAAAAAAATATTTTAAAAAACTCTGCTGCTTATTTTTTGTTGTATAAGTAATACCTACCCACTGGGCAAAATTTAGTAAATTCAGAGAACTGCTCCCAAGCTTCACCATCTAGAAATATTTAGACCATTTAATAACAAATAATATTTAGACCATTTAGACCAAATAATAACAGACCATTGTTATAGGCTTCCCAGGTAGCGTTAGAGGTAAAGAACCTGCCTGCCAATGCAGGAGACAAATGAGATGCAGGTTTGATCCCTGGGTCGGGAAGACCCCCTGGAGAAGGGCATGGCAACCCACTCCAGTGTTCGTGCCTGGAGAATCCCATGACAGAAGAGCCTCGTGGGTACCGTCCACTGGGTCGCAAAGAGTTGGACATGACTGAAGCAAGGAGATCCAACCAGTCCATCCTAAAGGAAATCAGTCCTGAATATTCATTGGAAGGACTGATGCTGCAGGTGAAACTCCAATACTTTAGCCACCTGATGGGAAGAACTGACTCCTTGGAAAAGACCCTGATGCTGGGAAAGATTGAAGGCAGGAGGAGAAGGAGACGACAGAGGATGAGATGGTTGGATAGCATCACCGACTCAATAGACATGAGTTTGGGTAAACTCCGGATGTTGGTGATGGACAGGGAGGCCTGGCATGCTGTGGTTAATGGGGTCGCAAAGAATNGGATAAACTATACTTTAGTGAGTATTGGGATTCCCTGGAGGCTGAGACGGTGAAGAATCTGCCTGCAATGCCGGAGACCAGGGTTCAATCCCTGGGTTGGGAGGATGCCCTGGAGAAGGGAACAGCTACTGACTCCAGTATTCTTGCCTGGAGAATTCCATGGACAGAGGAGCCTGGCAGGCCCCAGTCCATGGGGTCACAAAGAGTCAGCCATGACTGAGTGACTTTCACTTTCAGTGAGTACCCACCATTATTCACTCTACGCAGCAATGTAGTATCTGCCCATTGGCCAAAGTCTTACCGAACTGGGACTATTGTCAACAAGAGTTTCATCATACGGGATTTTTATGTTCCAAATTCCTGTGTGATAGATGGCCCTGGCACTACTTCCCATCATCTCCTCCCGGGGAAGAGCATCTTCAGTACTTTCTGCTCTTTGTCTCCCTTTAGAAATACTGCTTGTGGGATGTGGGGGTGGGGGCCACTTTGAAGGTGACCCAGAGCTGTCAATTTTGACCACTGTGACGTTGTCATGTGCTGTTTCTTCCTGGCACAGGTATGATGACTATATAGGAACACACACGAAAGGACACAACAGCCAGAGCAAAACCACATGCCCTGGTGGGTGGCTTAACCTAGATTTTGCCCTGAAAAGCGACCATGGCAGGATGAGCAAGCCCAGCCTTCAGGCACGATGCCCGGCTCTGACTGAGCTTGACTCCTGACTAACGCGCAGTCTGGTCTTGCGGGACTTTTGGACAAAGATGTCAAGACCATTCATAGTTAGCAGAAAAAATGCTTTCTGAAGGGTTCTGCCTTTCGTTTTTGGTGGCTGGTGGAAGCAAGGATACTTTTATTCCTTTTCTGGTTTTATGAAAATCAGACAGAAATGTAAATTTCACTCATATTTTCAGGGGTTGAGCCAGGGTGGTATGCTGAATTTGAATGCTCTAGCCTGTGGCTAGAGATGCTTCCAGAAAGATGCAGTGGCCAACAAAATGGTGCAGAACCCTGTGGGGTTCCAGGGCACAAAAGCCTTTCTGTGTCTTCCCCCTTGACCATTTCTTGATTACGGGTAATAACCTTCCTCCATGCTGCCTCCATGACCTTCCCTGAGTCCCAGCAGAACAGGTTCAAACAGTCGCCAGTTAGGGAAGGGAGGGGATGCAGAGGAGGAGCAGTCAAGAAACGACAGTGCAACCTTGGAGGAAAGCTCTGGTTCCTCAAGGGATATATGCGTGAGAGGGCTCAGTTGTGTCTGATTCTTTGGGACCCCAGGGACTGTAGCCCAACAGGCCTCTATGTCGGTGGGATTTTCCAGGCAAGAATACTGGAATGGGTTACCATTTCCTCCTCCAGGGGATCTTCCTGACCCAGAGGCTGAATGCATGTCTCCTGTGGCTCCTGCATTGGCATGCAGGTTTTTACCTGGCGCCACCTGTGTATATATGGTTATGCATAGCCCTAGCTCTCGAGGGACATATGTAACAGTATCTTTGAGCTGTTTTGCAGATACTGAAACCCTACTAGGTGGGAGAAGTTAAATGCATGCTCCTATAGGCACATAGACCCCAGACCTGCTGAAACCCGAAGGTTGATGATGCTGACCCCCATTTACCTCACCACCTACCAGTCAGAAGAATGCTCATGAGCTGATCAAGCCCTCTTTGAAACATTACTATAGAACTCCTCGCTACCCACTCCAGGTGGGGACACACAGTTCTGAGGACATTAGGCTGCTGTGGCCCCCTTTGCCTGGCAAAGCAATAAAGCTATTCTTTTCTACTTTATGCAAGACCCTGATATTTAATTCTATATTGGGGTGCAGAGGCCAGATTCAGCTTCACCAAAGGCAAGGGTGAGTGGATTTAGACAGTAATATTTGCCTCCTGTTCTCTGAGTAGTGTTGGAAGCCCTATGACCTGCCAAGGGCAGGGAGATGCTTTTATAATCACCCAGTAGTTAGGAGGAAGTAAGTGTCCTTCAAGACAATCCATGTGTGGGTTGCCTTCTTCCTAACATAGACCAAGATATTCTTTACATACTGTCCTGCTTCATCAGGTATTTTAGCCATAAAATCCCAAATCTGCAAGTGTTCCTGTCCGCACCTGACATTGTCCATCTAACTTTTACCCAAATGATCTCTGCTTGTCTGGGTGGAAAGTTCCCTCTTTGTAAGGTGAACCGATCATGTTTGTTCTCACATGGCTTAAACCTCTGTGAGTTTGAGTGCTCTGTCACTGTGCCTCGGGATCCTGCTGTCTCTCCTGCAGGAGATGAACATCTAGCTCTTGCGGAAGGCAAGAGCCTGGAGGCAGAGCCAGCTGGCCAGCATCCTACCCCTATTCTGGGGTTGTACCAGTGTGCTGTGTTTAAAGAGATATGCAGAAATAGTCAAACCAGAGATCACATGATCTCATACTTTGCATTTAGAATGAAAAATCAAGGTGATCACTTATTAAATAAATTTTTATTGAACATCAGCTTAGTTTCAGGAACATTTCAGATACATTGTCAAAGACTTAAAAGTTTGTTCTGCACCCAGCACTAGTTTTATACCTTTACATTTTCATTTTGTTTTCATGAAAACCTTGTGAGGTGGACACATCATTAATATTTCCATTTTACATATGAGGGAATCTAGGCCTAGAGAGGTCAAACAATTAGCCCAAAGTGGCACAGTTGGTAAGGGGCAAGGATGCTGGAATCTGCCAGGCAGTCTCATTCTGGCGCCTGTGTCTAAATTCCATACACTATGGCCTTCCTATACTCTTCGAAGGACAAACTGATTACAGATGTGGTTGCAGACTGGCATCTTGGCAGTGTTCTCAAATGAGTTTTCCAGGCAGGATATTTCTTTAAGGTAAGATGGTCAATCTCATGTATGAACCATTGATTTTTTAAGTAAAACTTATTACTTACTAGTAACACATACCAGAATGAAGGCATGCTACATGATAGTAGAATAGTTAGAATATAAAATTACTCTGTAATGAAGTTTCACTGATTTTTTTTTTTGAGTTCTTCTGTTTTAATTAAAAAGATCTGGTCTTTGCCTTCCAGTTATGAGTGCCTGTGAACACAACATTGTCTTTGAGCTGTTGTGTGTATAACAGCCATACCCCACCAGCTGCCATTGGTTGGGGGCTTGTATGTCGCTCTTGCTAAGCATTACCTTTTAAAATCCTCAAATCGACTTTAAGTATTATTGTCCCCATTTTACAGAAGAGGAAACTAAGGTTTATACAAGGTTAACTGAGGCTCAGGGAGGCTACACCGGGACTCATAAACAAGAGGGGCAGGATTCAAACCTGGTTGCCCTGAGCCCCCAGGCACATACATATAATTCACCAAATAAGCTTCCTCATGCGGAGACTTGGTGGCCCCGGGCATCGTGAGAACACACTGGTGTCAGGACAGCATGTGAACACAGGCTTCTGTAATTCCATCAGCAGATATAAGCCTAGCTAAAGTACTGGGCATACCCCAAGGAACACTGTTAAAGATAGACTTTTTTTGGCCACGCCATGCAGCATGTGGGATCTTAGTTCCCTGACCAGGGATCAAATCTCTGTCCCCTGCATTGAAAGTATGAAGTCTTGACCACTGGACTGCCAAAGAAGACCCAAAGATAGAAATTTTGGAAGAGAAATTGGAAAGCAGGTCAGGATCCCTTCTTTAATAGCAGGTAAAAATTATTGCAGGCTTCCCAATTCCCTTACATGTATTCCATTCCTCATAAAACCATATGTGGTAGGTACAATGGTTGTTATTATTCCCATTTTATAGATGGGAAACTGAGTCACACATATATTTCTTAGTGAGTAGCTCTCTTTGGGTGGACTGGTTAGTAGACAGCATGCCAGACTTATATAATGGGCTGTGTAAAAGAATTATGTTTTGGTTTGACAGAAAAAAAAAAAAAATCCGGAAAACAAATAACCCTCAAAAAAAAAAAAAAAAAAAAAAAAAAAAAAAATAACATTGGGAAACAAGCAAGCCGGGAACTGCAAATCCAATGAAATGGGCCAATTTTCGAAGGCCAAGTTCCTTAACTAAAACCCTAACCCCCTTTGAGCCGGAGCCCCATCTTCTAAGGGTCATGCTCTCCCCTGGGTGGTCCAGGGCTGAAGCACAGCCCATCCTAAAATCCTTACTGTGTGTCAAGAGCACGTGAGTGGGTCTAGTTGTGGGTGCAGACACAGAAATCTGTGTGTGGAAGGTGGAACTCTGGCTCACTTTTGAAGCCAGGGCTCCCCTTTTCTCCCTTCCTGGGAGCATGAGAGTGTGATAACAAAATCAGTCATTTTCTTAAGAGAAACGGTAGTAGGTACTTTCAGCCACAGAAGGCGAATTTCTTCTGTTTCTCCAAGGACTGGGCTTTGCCAGCCCTGCTGTAGCTGGTTGAAGGGGACCAAACCTCTCAGGAAGACGGACTTGGTTCCGTTTGACCAGCCAGAGCAGGGGGCAGCTCCTGGGGGAGGTGACTGCAGCCTCTAGGGCGAGGATTCTTGGTGTGTCCCGAGCATCCCTGGTTCAAGCCTGCAACACAGAAGGAGCTGGCATTAGCATGAATCAGATCCTGGGAGCTTGCCTTGCCCAGAACGTTCTCTCATTGGGTTTATGAAAACCATAAGAAATTTGTATTTTGCATTGCACAAGTTTATTTCTTTTACCTTTATTCTTTTTTCAAATATGAAATTGTGAGGTACTAATATGATATAGAATTGTAGAATTTGGAAAATAAAAATATCGCACATTTTTCCCTCTGATTTTCCAAAACAAACATTCTGCAGTAAGTTTTTGAATATCTTATATCATAATTTTTAAGATAAAGTTTATAATTTTAATTCAAATGCAGTATATTTATGAAAGAATAAATGTAACATGTGTGTAAATTATGACACATAGTGATTAAATCAATACCCAAAACAAACAACTGTTCACCTTAGAAAAAGAACTGGTGAAATCAATACTGTGGAAGCTTTTTGAATGCTTTTCCCAATTTATCTCTTTAGTTTCCCCTCACAGGGAAGAATTATCCTGAGCTCTGCTTTTCTTACAATTTAAATGTTCTTCTTTACAGTTTTTACCATTTTTGCATGTATTTCTAAATAATATATTGCTTGTCTTCTTTAACATAATAGTATCATACAGGAGATATTCTACTGTGATGGTATTTTCACCTAAAATGGTATTTGTAAGATTTATCCATATTTTGTGGCAGCTGTCATTTATTAATTTTCATTATTTTTATAGTTTTCTACTATATGAGTATATGTCAGTTTCGTTAGTCATTCTCCAGGTGATAGAGAGTGAGGTTGTGTGGTTTCGACAAATGGTCAGAATTGATTAAATGGTTGCCGCAGGGAGGCTGGGAAATCTTTGATTCTTATATTTTTTCAAGGAGAAGTCTGGGCTCCAGCGTGTAGGAACCTGTAGGTTGACCTTACAAAGGAAAAGCAACATTGACCAGTTCTAAACATCTGACGGTGGGCCCAGAGATCTGCTAAAAACTGCTCCTCAGGTGATTCTGATGCAGCTAAAGTCAGAACTACTAGGTGAGCAGAGGTACCCACTGGTTTCTCTGTATGTCTGGGAAAGTGTGGCCAAGGGGTCAAGGAGCTGATTAAAGAGGATATCTTCCCCAGGAAGGTGGCCTGACTATCTTCATCATGCATTTGAGCAGGTGAGGGAAGAGATAAGAAGAAAGGATATTTTGAATGGTGCTGGGAAATTGCTCTTGGGGGTGGGCTTTGCCAGCCCTTTTATATCCTCTCCCTGATGAAGGGAGTGAAATGAAGCAGAAAGCCTGTGGCCTTGGAGTTACACTTACCTGGGATCAGATCCCATGGATGCCTCCTGGCTCTCTTGCTTTTTAGAAGTTAAACCTCAATTTATGCCTCTGTGCAGTTGGGGGAGCATACCTACCACACCGACCTGTTGTAAGGCTTAGTGGAAACCGAGGAAAGGGGTCCAGTGGACCCTTTCAGGGGTCATGGGAAAGTCCTAGGGACAATCCCCACTGCTTTTGAGGTCAAGAGTTTCACTCTCAAAGCCAGTTTGTCCTCCACACGTTTACCTTCCCTTGACTACAAGTATTTTCATTTTGTCTCTGAAGTTGTGGAAAGCACTGATGGGATAAAGCAGAGCTGGTTTACCTAGCCAAGCAGACCTCTGCCAGGGGCGTCCCAGCTAGAGAGCACTGCCTGGGATCAATAAGACACCCCAGAAACCAAAGTGCTCAACCAGGCACCAGAGAAGTGGCAGATGTGATGGTTGTGGTGGAGGACCAAGGGTCCTGTCAACTGTGACTGGGTGCAGAGTGATGCTGGCGCAGCCTTTCTTGTTCTGAAGCCCCGCCTCTTTGGCTGGCATCCTGCAACTCTGCAGTTGAGCACCTCATCTTTACCCTCTGCTCCACCAGTGACACTGGTGTCTTGCAGCCACAGCTTATGGTTCACTAGCTCTTCCCCCGGCTACTGTTATCCAAGCCCAGAAATCCTCTGCTTCCTTCTAGGGAGCAAGGGTTAGACAGGCAGCCATGGGGGTGGAGGTCAGCCAGGTGGAAAAAGTGCATTGTCCAGCTCTTCAGTCAAGCCCCTGGCACTGCCATTTCCTCAACTCAGAACACGGGTCTTCATCATCTCTCTCCTCTTCTTCACTCGTGTCCTGCCTCACTCACACATTACAACTGCAGTTTCTGAGCAGATGACATGAAATCAGTCTTAGGGTAGGAAAAGGAAAACTACCTTTGGAGCAAGTGTGATTTAAAAAAGGGAAGGGCTATTACTGAAAAGAAGCACAACTTGGAGTCATCTACCCATTTTACAGGTTTGAAGACAAAGCAACGCTTGTAAAAGAAGGGCAATAATTTTCTGTGAGAGATAATGTACCATCATATACCCATGTCAGCGACTTTAGTCGAAGTACCATGATATAAAGTCCTCAACCTCGGCATATTGACATTTAAGATAAGTCTCTGTTGTGGGGGCTGTCCTGGGCATCGTAGGGTGTTTGGCAGCTTCTCTGATCTGTGCCCACTTGATACCAGTAGAACTGCCACTTGACAACCAGGAATGTCCCCAGACATTGCCAAATGTGCCCCGGGTGGGGGCTAAGTCACCTCCAGTTGAGAACTGCTGATCTAAAACTGTAAGTTTCTCTGTTCCATCCTGTAGCTGCCCCGTCTGTAGTAATTCCTCCACATTCTTCTAAGTTCCCCCCAGTTTTCATGGAGTCCAGTTTGGCTGCCCTTGAAGGACATTTGGTGTCGGGAAGAGGTAGGCAGGTGATGTCACCTGGGTTGCTTCAGGCCGGGGAGGGGTCCAGCCCCTTGTGGTCTGGGCGCTGCCACCCAATGGGGATGGCAGCCTTCAGTGCTGACCGCTCAGCCTTCACCTGCCATCGGCTGTGTAAACATGGCGGCCCCTCCCTTCGTCCTCTCCCTCCCTCCTTATCCCAAGTCCTCATTCTGGGGCTTCTCAGGTCCAGTTAACAGCCCCTTCCTGTGTATCTCAGCACACATCCATCCAATCTTGTGGTGTCTCCTTTGGTTGTTTTGCTTGAGAACTTGTAGAAGTTTAGTGTGGCCCCAGCCCTCACGTCACACACTCACCTAACAAGAAGGAAGCAGAGTCGTGGGATGCAGGAAGCCCCCCCTGGGGCTGGGCATCAGTGAGGGAGGGAGACCCTTCTCAGAGCTGGGGTTAGCTGATGGCTGAGCCTTGGGGGACCACAGTTTCTCCTCATAATTGAGGCTTTCCTCTCTACTTCCAGCTCCTTCCTGGTGTGGGTTCAGGCCCTTTAGGGTCAGAGCTGGGAACAAAGGGGTTCAGGGAAGAGGAGAGAAAAGAACTACGCCAACTGGATCGGTGAATCGCTATTCTAGCACCTCAAACCTTTTCCATGGACAACCTCCTTCAGTACTGCTTGGTGATGGGTTGTGATACAAAGAGGAAAAGATAGCAGGGGTCAGGGGACTGGCTGTGTGATAAGGCTGGATCCCCTGAGCCTCACAGCTCCTATCCATCTGCAGTGAGAACCCTTGGAGATGCAAGAACTGCCCTAGACACCAGTGATGATGAAGAAAGTGATACAGCCAAGCATGAAGGCTTTCCGGTTCAGTTTGGTTGGTAGAAACATCTTTCAGGAGCAAAAGGACAGGAGGAAGGAGCTTGGATGGTGAGAGCTGACCTTGTGACAAACCTTCAGGTGATGTGTGCTGTCCTTGAAAGAGGACCCAAGTGTGGGGGGACGGCCACGGAGGGCACTTGGGGACCACAATCAGTGTGCCTGATCCTAGGGTGGAGGATGAAACCTCAGGAGGGAGAGAAGGGATGTGGGGAGAACTCCAGGCAAGATTTGGAGGCTCTCCCTTTCTTGGTGAGGATACCTGTGGGCGCAAGGCTGGGATGGGGAAGAGGGGACCAGGTGCTCTGGGTGGGACCGTGGGGCCGAGGAGAGGCGCTCGCCGAAACCACACACTTCCTTACATTCCATAGCAAAGTAATCCGTATGGGGATATAAAGAAGCATGTGGCCTTGGGAAGCAGTCTTGGCCCCTGCCTGCTTCCTCCATCGTCCGGATGTAGCCCCACATCTCAGATGGGGGCCCCTCCCACTCTCCTCCTCCTCTAGGTGGGGACGCTTGGAGGTCAGGGCTCCCCGGATCTCACGCCATCACCCCAGCATTCCCCTCAAACCATCCTGCAACACATCTGTTGTGAGGCACAGGGGTGCTTTGGGGTGGGGTGGGGGGTTTCCAGCCCTTGCTCAGGAAAAAATGGCACCCAAGTTTCTTTGGCTTATTTTCATTGAGTTTTAATGTATCGAAACTTTTATTATTACTATTCACTAATTTGCCTTGGTTTATACAGGTCAATATGATTCTGTTTTAACATTTGGAATCCCATGAAGGAAAATTAGAGAGAAAGAGAAAGAGAGGGAGAGGGAGAGGGAGAGAGAGAGAACCGGCGACAGAGAGCATCCTACAGAGATGCTATTCCGCACATGCGCAGTGAAGGACCCCTGCTTGGACCGCAGCAGGCCTTCCTGCGCTTCCTACTGTGTGTCTGTCGTGGGTGCAGTTGATGGGCCGCAGCTGCCACGCAGCATTCCGAGCACCATTGTTCGTTGTTGGAAGAATCTTTTTGTTCAGCTTCTGCTCCCCCTTGCTCATCACCTGCCCTAGGATCTGTGAGGCCCAATCTGCAGAAAGTGAGAGACGCTGGCAGCTGGGGAGTCACCCACAGTCTGGACAGGCCACCCTGGCTGAAGGGTGATGGGGTTTTTCAGCTTCAGAGGATCTAACACTCTGCCAGGAAACAGAGAGAATGCGGAGGGAAGAATTGTGCCCCAAAGAAGGTTTGGGCCTCACAGTGTTGACAAGGGCAATCAATGAAATCTAGTAAAAGTAACACAAATAAGAACAAAATGTTTTCAAGCATATTCTCTATGACAGAGATGGTTTTTGGTGCTCTGACAAGTTCCTTGAATCCTCCCTACTCTATGAAATAGCTGTTACCTTCATCTGGTTTTACA